TAGGAAAAGTTATTCAGAGGAACTCCTCACCGTCAGGAAATTTCACTTCTTCTTCAGGTCCTTTGAGATTATTGGTGGTGCCAAGGTCATCTAGTTACCTCCTGTGCAGTCACAGAAAACACAAAGTGGTATTCCATGTGAACTGGCTGTAAGAGGTGTTATATCTAAGGAGATATTGTCATCCTTCCCTTTGGAATCAAAGTCAGTGGAATTTAGGAGGGTAATTACAGACTTTTTCTTTTTTCACTCCAGATGGTAATAGTGCCAACCACAGGCTGTTCTCTTATAAACTGATAGCTGCATTCTTGAAAAACACGACATTATGGAAAAATTGCATTATAGTAACTGGCAGGATTCAGTAGGAATAAAGGAGTAGGGGCAGTAAACAGGAATCTCTTTACAGTGTGTTATGTAATTGTAAGTCTTTTTTATGTTCATTTATTAGTTTACTAGTTTAATAATGTCACTCACTGATGAATGATGTCACATGTTCTTTTGTGCCATTCATACAGCTTTAGAAAATTGACTTTTTATTCAAAAGTAATTGCTTTTTTCACTTCAATTCCACTAGCACCTTGAAAAGAATGCCCCATACCCTCGCCATTCATTGCAATTAATATCAATACCATTGTAAGTGTAAGTGGGAAAAATAATGCAGGTTGAAGCACAGTTCATGATAACATTAAGTGCACCAGCATGCAGAACAAAGCCTGATGTGTGGGTACCATTTGGAACTCAGGTAGGGAACGCAGGTAACCTGGGATTGCTGTAACCGCCTATTCATTACCCCCTTTGTATTTCATGCATTTATCCTAAAAGACTTACATATTCAATTCAATTCAATTCAATTCCATTTTATTTGTATAACGCTTTTTACAACACAAGTCACAAAGCAGCTTTACATTGTTACCAGGCCTGAGACCCCCTGAGAGCAAGCCTAAGGCAACAGTGGCAAGGAAAAACTCCCTAATTGACAGGAAGAAACCTTGAGCAGAACCCAGCTCAGAGGGGGAGCCCATCTGCTTATGGCCGGCATTGGGCAGATAGAATTACAGAGAACACTTAAAGTTGTATAATGTATGAATGAATGAATTTGATAGACAGTAGTAATTAACAACAGAGTAATTATAAAATGTAATCCTAGAATGTCCGGTTCTTGGCACACAGTTGGGCAGCAAGGTAGCTGAAGTGGAAATCGGGATGTGGCGCTTGAGCTACAGCTCCAGACAGGAGTCCAGAGCAGGGACAGGGAACAAATAGAAAACAGTGATTAGTGGATGTTAGTTGCAGTAATGGACACATAAAGGCATAAAGGCAAAGGGGGGAACAGAGGGGGGAAGAGGGATGCATGTGTGTCATAAGGAAAAATCCCGGCAGATAAGCACTATGGCAGCATACTTAGGGGACGAGAGGCAAGGGGCCAGCACGATCATGAGGGCGACCCTAAGGCATTCAACACCAGACCACAGCCGGATCAGCTGAACACAGAGTAACCAGGCCATGATGTAGTGACAGCAATGACCACTTAGTCCACCAGAGACTCTACCAGCACCGTGCTGTGTCCCTCAACTAAAAGATTTGAAATAGAGGTAAGTTTTTAGCCCAGACATAAAAGCAGAGAGAGAGTCTGCTCCCCGAACCTCGGTGGGTAAAGTGTTCCACAAAAGAGTAGCTCAGTACGGGGGCTCCCGAGTGGCTCAGTCAGTAAAAGCACTTGTTCCGAATGTAGACTGAACGCTATGGCCCAGGTTCGATCCCGGCCGTGTCACTAGCCAACAGTGACTGGGAGCTCACAGGCGGAACACATTGGCTTCGTTCCGCTGGGGATAGGGGTGGGTATGTCGGCAGGGGCTTGGGTCCCATTAGCAACAGTGACCCCTGCTGATCAATCGGGCGCCTGTGGTCCACGTGCTGAAGCTGCATATGAAATGTCTTCCTCCGACTCATCCCTGTGCTAGCTTAGCTTGTGGACCGCAGAGCGAAAAGAAGCAGTGGCTGACATCACATGTCTCGGAGGAGGGCACGTGCTTGTCCACGCTCTCCCGGCTTGACAGTGGGAGTTGTGCAATGGGACCGCAAATTGATGACAAATTGGGCATTCCAAAAATTCAGGGAATTGGCCATTCCAAATTGGGGAGAAAATGGAAAAATGAGGGGAAAAAAAGAGGGGCTCAGTATGAAAAGGCTCTGCTGCCTATAGTACTTTTACCCACTCTTTTACCCACTTTTACCCGCACTTTGGGAACATAGAGTTTGTTTTGGAGAATATGGGTGAAGTTCCTTAAGATAGGGAGGAGCAAAGCTTTAAATGTAAGGAGAAATACTTTGAAATCAACATGATATTTGATAGGTAGCCAGTGGAGAGAAGCTAATACTGGGGTGATGTGCTCAAAGCACTTTGTTCTGGTTAGAATACAAGCAGCTGCATTTTGAACCAACTGAAGGGGCTTTAGGGAGGCATATGCACATCCTGACAAGAGGGCATTACAGTAGTCCAATCTGGACGTAACAAAAGCATGGATCAAATTTTCAGTGTTGTGTATTGATAGAATTTTCCTGATTTTGGCTATATTCCTTCAATGAAAGAAAGCAGTCCCGGATGTGTTTTTTATATGTGTTTCAAAAGAGAGCTCAGGATCAATCATGACATCAAGGTCTTTGATGGTTGCACTTGAGGCCAGCGAGACACTATTAAGATTTAATGTAATATTGGTGAGTTTGCTCCTGATGGACTTTGGGCCAATAACCAATATTTCTGTTTTGTCCAAAATTAGAAGGAGGAAAATATGGGCCATCCACATTTTTGAGGCAGGCTTCCATGTTTTAGTGGAAACTAATGCCATGTTTACGAATGATATTTCCAAGAGGTACCATGTATAAAGAAAAGAGCAAAGGTCCAAGCACGGATCTGTGTGGTACTCCATGTCTTACTCTGGAGCGTTTGGAAGACATATCGTTAACGAAGACAAAGTGATATCACTCTGACAGATAAGACCTGAACCAGGATAGAGCCTTTCCACTTATGCCAATCAGGTTTTCAAGTCGGTCTAATAGAATAAGATGATCGATAGTATCTAAGGCTGCACTTAGGTCTAGGAACACAAGTAGGGAGATACAGCCATTGTCAGAGGAGAGAAGTAGGTCATTATTGGTAGTAGGTCAAGTAGGTCAAGTACTTTTAGGAGAGCGGTTTCTGTGCTGTGATGCAGTCTAAACCCAGACTGAAAGAGTTCCAGAATATTGTTGGACTGTAAAAAGGAGCAAAGTTACTTTGTTATCACTTTTTCAGAAGGAATGGGAGATTTGAGATGGGCCTGTAGTTCGACAGGTCATTGGGGTCTAGAGTGGGCTTCTTCAGAATGGGCTTGATGACTGCTAATTTGAAGGCCTGAGGTACATGTCTGGACGTAAGGGAGGCATTGATAAGATTTAATAACGGCGTGCCAATTTCAGGTAGCAACTGTTTTAAGAATCTTGATGGAATGGGGTCTAACAGGCTGGTGGCATTTTTAGATGAATTAATTAGGGAGGAGAAGTTGCTAAATTTGATGGGTGTGAAAGAGTCTAGGCATGTGGCTAGCCTAGTGGACATCTCTACATTATCTGAGGCTGGACAGGCCAGGCTGGAAGAAGAAATAGAGGAAAGCTTTTGAACTGTGTCGTGTATCTTTATGATTTTGCTGTCAAAAAAATTCATGATGTTATCGCTACTATGAATTGCTGGAATACAAGGGTTGGCTGATGCAGGGCTCTTAATTAGTCTGGCGATGGAGCTGAACAAATACCTGGGATTGTCCTTATTTTTCTCTATTAGGATAGAAAAATACGCAGATCTGGCAGCTGTGAGCTTATAATTCCTACATGTTAAATTTAGAGAGCTGGATATTTCCTGAGGCAAGTCAGGTGTAGTACCTTACATTACATTACGTTACAATATTGGCATTTAGCAGACGCTCTTATCCAGAGCGACTTACATTGGTTAGTTTACATTGGTTACCTTGCCCAAGGTATAGCAGTGCCTAGTGGGGAATCAAACCGACAACTTTTGGGTTGCATCTCCTGCTTCTTAACACTACACTGCTGCCATTAGTGTAGATATAGTAGGCTGTTAGTCTATAGCAGTAGGTTAGCATGCTATTGCACAAATTTTCTAGAGTCAGTACTTTCCCACCAAAAAAGAAACTATTCCACATAGACATTCATGATGAACATTAAGTTATTGACACACTGTCTGCTCTGTTAAAGAATATGATAACAGGTTTAAACAACAAATCCTCACGGACGTACTTTTAATTTGTGGTAATTGAATGATTAATTGGGATGATTGGAGTACCACAATGGGATAACTGATTGAGGCAATTTGAGAGCAATGTTTGTTTCATGCCAGAGACAGAGCATGATTTTCTCTCGGCTTTATTGTCGTTTATCACAGACATCCTCATCCAGGCTGGGTGGTAAAGGTTGAACTATTCACCTGAATACTTACTGAGACATTTCAGGTTAAGGGTACTGCTAAAGGGTACAACAGTACTGTTCCTACCTGAAACTGAATTCTCCAACCCTCTGGTTACTTGTCCTTTGCCCTTCCATTTGCGGCACAGTCCTGACATCTCTGGAGCTCACTGGCTGTCAGGGAGAAGGTGAGACAGGGTGAGTGATAAAGGAGCTTGCTCATCTCTTTTTAACACACTCTGCGGCTCATTTTTAAATGGAGTACCTGGCCTGCGATGACTGAGGAGATGGGGATTTCTCTGGGACCTTGACAGTCGTGTTCAAAGAGAAAGTGTAATGAGACACCCAGACTCTCTGATAGAGTGGATCCGAGAATAACACCCAGATCTGTGCTACAGGACTCGTGTGTAAATGGAACACCTATGTTCAGTTTACCCCAAGGGGAAAGAAATGGTTTAAAGTATGTCCCCTGCACTGGTCTCAATATTTTTTTTGTCACTTTTCCCAGCTTTCCTACTTCACATCGTTCAAAATTTTACTCATTGGGTGGCAGTGTAGCATAGTGGTAAGGATTTAGACTTATAACCAAAAGGTTGCCGGTTCGATTCCACACTGGGGCACTGCTGTTGTACCCGTGGGCTAGGTACTTAACCCACAATTGCCCCAGTAAATATCCAACTGTATCAAAGGCTAGCATGTAAAAAAATGTAACGTATGTAAGTTGCTCTGGATAAGAGCACCTGTGAAATACCAATAATGTAATGTACTCAGGTGGTAACATACACCAACCCTGCTGCTGTAGTGACTTCACATCTGTCTGTGTATTTAGTGATCAATTCTGACTGTAATGATGATCGATTACTTTTATTGTACTATGGCTGCTATCCTGCACCCACTTCTGCAGACTCCCATTAAAAAACTGTGCCGTTATCTGTGTCTTCGAGGTAGTGCTGTGGCCTTTGATTTTCTGAGATTAGCAAGGATTGACTGACACCTCTACTAATAATTGAAATGTGCCAAATTGCTCTACAGGTTATACAACATCAGTTTAAATTATATCAACACAACAGTTGAATTTTTTGGAACAGATCACCAAACTAATATGTCTGCTACAACTTTCAACTGTCATTATATCTAGATATCAATATACCATAGATACATTATTTGTAGATACAGCTATGTCATCATATATAATATAGTATACCATATATAAAGATGTTAGCTGTATGTTAACAACTACGTTGTTATGCAATCAGATAAACCGTACGAGAGATAGGATGACAATCAATACTTCAGTATTTATTTGTCAATAAAGGCATGCATGAAATGTATTGGATTCAGACTGAAAGAAACAGATGCTGTAGACAGTATAATGAACATTGCTGTATGTTACTGTTCTTGGAGATACTTAAACAGAAAGGCTCTGCCACATATTGTGTCAGGAATGCACATGCTATACATGGCTACAGGCTACATTGAAAGGCATAACAGAGCAATAATAAACAATGCTGCATAAAATGTGTTGCACTGAATAATGTTCTAAGCTGTATATAGGTAAAGCTTAGCAACAAAGGCTGCAGCAAGCTACATGTGGAAATGAATAGCTGAAGGCTAATGATCCAGTTTCTGTTTATGGGGAAATAACTCATTTTTCTGTATCTGCTCAGTGCCATGCATAAGTCAAGCTTGTGGTAAGCTTGTGACAATGTTCTGGAAACTCAGCCAAAGGAGTGGGGAGACAGTCAGTGCCAGCCTCAAGGATGTCTCCAGCTATGCAGAAATATAATGATAATGAATATGATAAGGCTGTCACATAGTTTGCTGAGAAGTGTGGGCTGGGTACCTTACTTTTTTGTATATAATATGCTGTGAAACTATAATCCTGAGACTCTCTCTTGTGTTGCACTGGTGAATCAACCCTGTCTTTGAAGCAATAATCTCAGTCTGCTGGATGACATTAGAAGATCCCAGTAAAACTTAATTTATGTACACAGAATTTCACAAGCACATATTACAGTGCAAATAAAAGTCAGGCTAACAATACCATAATGTAATATCAACAAACGTGGTAAAGAAAATGGTCTGTTCATGTGCATCAACAAACAGCCACTAGGGGGCTCTAAAATGCCTTGAACCAAAGGCATAACAATATGCCAAGGCAGCAGAAATTGCATACAAGTGACACTTGATGATATGCCATATCACTGGGAGAATGTGGACACCGGAATCACACTCCAAGGTCTATGTCTGCCCATATCAAGTCCAGTCAGGCTTTCACCATTGTAGTACCTTTATACTAACAATAATAACAGTTTACAATTAAAAGCGATCATAGATGCTTTAGAGGTTAAAAATGGAAAACCAGACATACAGAGGCGAACAGGCGAACGTACACAGCAATATGTAAGCAGGAGGTGTTGGAGTGAAACTGGGTTATTACTCATAGGAAAACCTAAAGAGGTGAGATCTGAGACGAGGTGTGAATGAGTCAAAGGAAGAAAAAAGAACGGGAGGGGAGGACATACCAAAGCTGTAGGGCAGCCCCAGAAAAAGCAGGGTCACTGAGGACGATATAATTATGGGCTACAGAGGAGGCCAGACATGGCAGACCTAAGGCACTTTGTGGGTTGATAAAAGGTCAGAAAGGTAGGTGGGGGCAACACTGGATGTAGCTTTATAGGCAAGTAGAATTTTGGACTCAATTCTAGTTTTGAAGGGGAGTCAGCGCAACTCTTTAAGAATGGGGTTGATATCAGGAGCTGGGATAAGCAAGGCATCTGAAATTTTGAGGAGGGGAAGATATATGATCCCAGCAAATGACCACCAATAGGATTAACCCCAGTGGCAGTCAAACACCGGGGAGTGGAAGATGCCCCTGGCAACAGCTGGTACCTGTTATAGGTGTTACCTGATACGTTAATGCCATACTCCAGCACATTACTGCTCCCTGTGCTTATTACTGTGACACTTGTTAAACAGTTGTCATTGCGGGCTGCTTACAGGACATCAGCACAAATCACTTGTCATTTAAGCCTAGAACATTACTAGGTTGCACCCCAGGTCATAAACAGCACAGACACTAAGTGTGGATGAGAAAATTCTTTGCAGATGCTATAGACACTTACTTTCCAGGACTTCCAAGGATTTTTTTTTCCAAGGACATCTTATGATTTTTTTAAAAATTATTATTTGATTCCAGGATAACATTTAACATTTAACATTTTATATGATTTCTCCCCTTTCTGCAGCCCTCTTTTTAGAATTGGATGTGTTTTGCTCATGTCACTGCGATATCCATTGCATTCACACAGCTGGGGTGTAGCGAATGCGGTTCTCGGATATGCACGCATGACTGTTTTTCACATGGTAGGACTCTTCCTCTTCACGCTCTCCTGCTCAACCTCACCTTCCCCTTCCTCCTTATTATTCATCTAATCAACTCCTTTTATTCTTCATTTCCTCCTTATCAATTTCTGCTCACTCTTTCTCTTCCTCAATCTACATCTCCTTCTCTGTCTCCTTATTTGTCATGGTATTTGCTATTTCACACACTGAGCTGTTCTCTGTTATAATTGTGGAGCCAAAGAGATATAAACAAATAATTTGTGACTTCATGTTTCCATGTGTACAGACGTTCAGACCGCAGGGTTATTGTGATTATCTCCGTAGGAAACTCCAAAAAGTGTTCAAGCCTCTGCTGTATAGGTGTGCAGTATGCCCCACTAACCTGTCACTTGACACATGGCAGACCTTCCATTTCAGTGCATGACATATTACCATCTAATTGGTCACTAATAAATGCTAATCATTTACCAATTACATGCTTCATTAAGATCCAATAACATGGTGCAAATAGTATCAATAATAAATGTTTTCCCTACTTTGTCTTTGCTGTCTTACCATTTTGTCCTTGATAGTTATGTATGCACAGAAAGCAGCATGGATATAAATACAGAGACAGCAATAATACCTAAGAACCCTTTATTGGCTGCTAATACATGTAATACATGACTGACAATCAGCTGCTGAGAAGTGCCTCACCTAGAATAGTAATGCTAATGTTAATAAATTTCCTTTGCATTTTATAAACACATATTTAGCATTTTGGTCAGTTGTAAAGCCCAAATGGCACAAAGTGTATTTGAATTTCATAATTCAATTAAACTCTTTTTGGCAAACTTTTTCTCAACCAAATTAACTGGCAAAAAGAGGGACCATCAACATTCCAAAATAGTTCCTTCGGTTTTAAAAACCATTTCTTTAGTGCTAGGGCAGATGGTAGTGGTTTAAACTGCCATTTACTCTTTTTTTTCCACCAGTGGTTTACTAACCTGAGGAGTAAACCATATGACGAGTAAACCATTGTTGCTATGAAGGTAGAATCGTGCCATAATCGTTAGCTGGCTAGTTTGCTAGTGTATTTTAAGACAGTTAGTCAGCTTTACACGACAGTTCATACTGTCACTATCTGTTGACCTCATCCTCGGGTAATTACAAAATTTAGTTAGCTGGGGTTGGCAGCGAGCAGTGAGAACCATGGTTCGAAACTCGCTCGCTCGCTGACCCATGTAACATCTAATTGAACACTACGCAAGGTCCCACCCGTTACATATAGAAATCTACATTTTTGGAGGAACTCACAAAAGCTGAAATTCTAAATAATTTACACTTGATGTTGCCTATTCATAGATTGGAGCCTGCATGTCCCAGAGGAAGTTGTGGCTATTCAGAATGCTAATGTTTTGGCATAGAGCTGATTAGATCCGCCCCCAGTTACTGAATTTAATTCCAATAAGTAACCAGTATCATGTTCAATTTCTCACATTTATGACAAACCAAATTTCATGAAAATGGGCTCAGAATTAAGCGAGTCGATTTTGTAGAGAAGTCTGCATCTCTCGACACACATTGTATTTGTTTGCTAGCTCTCCAATATGGCGACCACGCAGACGCACGTCAAATCACAAACGCGGTATCCACGTTTCGATATCTGTGCTGCCACCTATTGGATGCTTGTGTTAGAACAGCCACAGCTTACGGTTTCTTGAGAGCAAGTTGTAAGTTGCAAATCGTGAGTCGTGCTTCTTTCATTTTTTGCACTCAGACAGGCAGGAGAAATTGGCCAATCACATTTATGCTCCTGAGCGCTCTGAGCGGAAATTACAAAACGCAAGTATGAGTTTGAGTATGAAGTTACGATTGCAATTTGCTTTTTGCAGTTTTTCAGATCCGAAGTTACAATTGCAAAATCCAAAATGCGCTTTCGCAAGCTGTGAATTACAATTGCGATTTGTGCTTCTCTTTTATGGTTCGCAGTTTACAAGCGCAAATCTTACTCTGCGCTTCTTCTTATTTATGGCATGATTCTACCTTCATAGTTGGAAAGTAGTTTCCATCTCACCAACAACCTAAGTAGTTTAAGCAACAACAACAAGGCCTCAAACAAAATAAAAAAGAGCAATACATGCTACCACCCTATTTGTGAGTTCCTGGTAAATGCTGTATAGTTCTTTGTAACCACTGTACCCTTGGTAGGCCATGTGTTCTCAATAACAACAGTAACCTGCCACCCCAGAGCCATGGCTTTGACAAAAGAGATGTTTCTAGACTGAGTTTTACACTTATA